GGCACCGAGGCAGGCCCGGGGACCCTCTGCATCTCTGCCAGGGCCCTCTCTGATGCTTTGGTGGAACCTGCCTGAAAGGGAGGGAAGTCCAGCTGCCAGAGCAAAAGGCTGGATCTGCTTCTCGGCCGAATTCTTGGGGAGTTCCACCCCATTCTACCGGGCGCCACTCTAGTCTGCAAAAGTCAGAGAAAAGGAGAAAACCAACACAGGGATTTCCGACTGTGACCCCGACACTTCCCCCCGTCTCAAAAATGCAGTCGCAAGAACCCTGTGGGAACTAACAAGCTGTTTTTGTGCTGGTGGTGTGTATCTTCTGCCGGGTTCACACAGTGCTTGGTGAAGGTGGACTGCTGTGTGGGTATCGAGAACCCACCGCTCTTTCAACATGTGGCCGCCGTCACAGATGGCTGGGCTCTGAGGCAGGGCAGCAGGCAGGACCGCCAAGCAGGAAGGGCGCCCACATCAGGTCGGGAAACATCAGAACCAACGCCCCTGAAGCCTCCCTGGGCTGCTTTCAGCCACTCCCCCCGCCCCAAGGGTACCCACGCTCCCGACTTCTAAAACCAGAGGTCAGTCTTGCTCCTGTCTGAACTTCATCTGCGTGGAGCAGTGCGTATCCAGCTTCCCTCACCCCTCACTTGGTGTGAGAACCAGCCGAGTGGTGGATAGTTGCTCTTTTGCTCTTGTTGCTGTAGAGTGGGGTTTCTCAGCCTCAGCACCATTGGCCTTTGGGGCTAGATAACTTGTTGTTGGGGGGGGGGCTGTCTCGTGCATTGTGGGATGTTTGCGACAACCCAGAATGTCTCCAGAACCGGCCTTATGTCCCCTGGGGGGCAAAATCGCCCTCAACTGAGAACCACTGCTATAGAGCATTCTGTGGAATGAATATGTCATGACTTTTTTAGCCACCTGTGATGGCCATTTGGGTTGTTTCATCCTTGGCTATCTCAAATTGTGATGCTCTGAGCTTTCTCTGACATATCTTTGGGTGGACACAGCACTCATTTCTGTTGGGCGTCCAGGAGGGAATTGCTGGGTTATCAGGTAGGCATATGTCTACTTTAATAGATGCTGCTAAACAGTTTTCCACAGTGGTTGTACCAGTTTACACTCTCACCAAGTGCATGAGTCTTCTGGTTGCTCCACATCTTCACCAATAGCATTGAGTTTTTACTTTGCATTTCTCAAAGGCTGAGCACCTTGACATATGGGTCTTAGCCACTTGGACATCCTCTTAATAAAGTGCCCATTCAAGTCTTTTGCTCGTTTTTCTATAGGATCGTCTGCCTTTTTCTTATTGATTTGTAGCAGCTTTTTATATATGATGGATAAGAGTCTTTTGTCAGATATGTGTATTGCAAATGTCTTCTCTCACTCTATGTACTCACAGATTTTTAGAGCTAGGGGCGATCTGTGCTTCCCCCATCAAACCCTCTGGGGCACTTGACTGTCATTACTAGTTCAATTGTCCTTTTTGCAAGACAATGAATTTCATACGGGCAGAGGCTATGCATCTGCTTGTTCAGTTTAGAACTCCCAGCACTGCGCCGGCCTGGTGGCGCAAGCCGTTAAGTGTGCGCGCTCCACTGAGGCGGCCCGGGGTTCGCCAGTTCGGATCATGGGCGCACACCGATGCACTGCTTGTCGAGTCATGTTGTGGCGGTGTCCCATATAAAGTAGAGGAAGATGGGCACAGATGTTAGCTCAGGGCCAGTCTTCCTCGGAAAAAAGAGGAGGATTGGCATCAGATGTTAGCTCAGGGCTGATCTTCCTCACAAATAAATAAATAAATAAATAACTCCCAGCACAGGGTTTGGGGCAGAGTGTGTACAAAATAAATATTTGTGGAGTGAAAGAATCAGTGAACCTGCCACGGGGATGAGTTTTGCAGCCCAAGGCTTCAGTGTGTCTCAGCAGTTGGTTCCCAGACAACCCTCCCTAAAAAGCACAGAGACTGAGGCGCTGGCCTGCTGCCCCGCCCCGCGCACCCCCGCCCCCCGGGGGTGGCAGCCAGCTTCTGCGTCTGTCTGTCGTTCCTCTGCCAGCTGGATGTCTGCCCACCTGCACACGCCCTGAGGAAGGCAGGGCCTCTCAGGAGAAGTCGCATTTAAATTAAGTTCCCCGGCAGTCACGGGAGAGGAGATCATTTTCATAAACAAATGGGAAGCCAGAGTTTTGTCTGCAGCTCAGAGTGAGTCGTGTGGCAGGAATTCAGAACAAACCACCCGAGCAAAGGCCCCGAGCACCTGCCTGGAACTTGGAACTCCGCAGCTCTCCAGGAAGGTCAGGGCTTGGGGTTTGAGATGGGAATGAAGAAGGAGAAAAATGATCAGGCACTGACTAGAAAACAACTGAGAGAGCCTCCAAGGTGGCATTTCATTCATTCATTCAACCCCTATTTACTGACATCTATTCTATGCCGGGCCCTGGAAAAAAGAGGGTGACAATAAAGACTGACAGGGGGCATATGGGGGCTCTCTGTACCTTCTGCTCAATTTTGCTGTGAACCTAAAACTGCTCTAAAAAATAAAGTCTACTTAAAAAATAAAAATAAATTAACCTTAAAATAAATCCATAAATAAATAAAGACAGACTGAGCACAGAGTCTACCAGGGAAGACAGACATTAAACTGATCATCATGCAATTAATGACTCAGTTACACTATTTTGAAATTTTTAATGACTTTACTGAGATATAATTCACATATCATACAATTCACCCATTTAAAGTGTACAATCCAATGGCTCTTGGCACATTCACAGAATTGTGCAGCCATCACCACAATCAATTTTAGAACATTTTCATTACCCCCAAAAGAAGCACCATGCCCCCTAGCCATCGCCCCCCCGATTGTTACAGTCTCCTCCCCCTCCCAGCCATAGGCAACCACTAATCTACTTTCTGTCTCTATGAGTTTGCCTTTTCGAGACATTTCACGTAAATGAAATCACACAATACGTGGTCCTTCACTGAGCATCGTCTTGTCGTGGCCCCTCCGTGCCGTTGCAGGTACTGCTGTGTGATGCTGAAAGTGCCCTGAAGGAGGAGCTCAGGGTTCTATGGTGTCACAAACAAGGAGGCTTGTCCAGACCGAGGGCGACCAGGGAGGGCTTCCCAGAAGAAGAGGTTTTTACTCTCAGGCGTTTATTAAGCACCTGTGCCATTTGTTGGGCACATTTATTTGTGCCACCAGGAGAAAGAAGGCAATAGAAGCCATGGTTCCAGCTGTGTAGGAATTTATAATCCAGGCAGGCTGGCCCGGCATATGCATTCATGGACATCGAGAAAGTCACTTAAGTTCTAAGCCCCAAATGAACAGAACAGATGGTAAAAGTTACGGAAGCCAGGTGAGGGAGAGGCCACTGTGAGCCAGTGGGGTCTAGAGAGCTTGAAGAATGAGGACCAGTAAGGGGAGGGCAGGCCAGGAGCAAAGGGATGCCTGTGGACCCCTCAGGGACAGGGAGTGGGGAGTGCACCTAAACCACGGGGCCACGTGGGGGAGTCTGGGAGGCAAAGCTGCAGAGGTGGGCGGGTGGGAGGGTGCAGGGCCCAGACCACCAGCCGGAGGGAGGGGTTTTTTCCAAAGGCAGTGATGAGCCACTATGGGGGGGCATTCCCTGATCATCTACCTCTGTGCACCCAGGAGAGATAGGAACATAGATAAGATGGAAGAAGAAGAAAGAGTGAGCCAGAGCCGCCAGACCCCCTGGACAGCCTTTGGCGAGGCCACGGCCAGGGATGTCCTGGGAGACATGACACCCTGCAACTGCGAGGGGGGAGGCACAGCTGCACTCTGCCCTTCTCAGTAAAGTCCACAGGGCTGATGGTTCAGGGAGCCATGCAAACCTGGGGCTTGTCGGTATTTATTCAGCGGGTGGATCTAAGTGTGGGCTGGAGACAGATGGCCTGGGTTCAAATCCCAGCTCTGCCACTTCCTCCTGCGTGGCCTGTGTGACCTGTCTGACCTCTCTGTGCCCCAGCTTCTCCATCTGAGAAATGGGGAGGGTAAGGGGACCTGCCTCACAGGGCGGTCGTGAGGACTAAGGGAGAGAAGCATACGAAGAACTGAACGTTGTATCTGGAACACAGAACTCAGCAAGTGCTCATCGGTGTGAAGAAGATGATGATATTCCAAGCGCCGTACAGGATCGGACCTCTGACCTCAGTGAGCCGCTAGTCTAAAGAGAGGCAGTGCAGCATAATGATTAAGAGCTCCACCTGGAGGTCAAGCACACCCGCATTTGAATTCCAGCCCCATCCCTTAGGAGCCGTGGATCATGACTCTGCCTCTTTGGGTCTCAGTTTCCCCATCTATAAAATGGGGGAATTAATGTGGCATCAACTGAGCAATTTTGTTCCTACAAACCCCTTCTAGGGGGTCGAGGAGATGTTCACCAGAGACCCAGAGAGTGAGAACAGCTGTCCAGCTGCCGAGAGGGTGACAGTGGGCCTTGTCACGGTCTCCCAGCCTCAGTGAGGGTTCAAGGAGGCTGCGAGTCCCCTGAGCTACAATGACAATGGTTTGAGCCATCCCTGGGAGGAATGAAGGGTTAGGTGGGCAGAGGCCCACTCCCTCGACGGCAGTGGGTCTCTGTGAGCCAGGTCCTCCGGCACAGCTACACTGGTGAGTCGTGTCCAGCTCTAGCAGGCAGGTCTAGGCTGGACCCCAAATCGCTGCTCAGTGCAGGGACGTGCCTCCCTGCTCCAGCCGCACAAACGCGCCTCCTCCTTCAAGGCCTCCGTCCCGACCACCCCTGGCCACGGCTCTGCTCTCCTCACCGGCCCCTTAGTACGAGCACACTGGTCAGGCTTCTCAATGCCCAACGCAGCTCAGGCTCCTCTCAGCGAGGGCTGTCGTCCACGCTGTCGTGGCCCTGAAGGTCGCCCCCAGGGCCTGGGGAAAGCGGGCATCCGATGACTCCCTGCTGCTGAATTTGTTATAACATGATTGGTCTGAGATTCCACCCCTCACCTCTGTTCTCTGTGCTCCCCCCAACAGGCCGAACTCGGGAAGCCCCGGGAAAGAAGCTGCAGTCTGCCTGGAATCAATTTTAATTACGGACTCTATATCCGGGGGCTGGATGGAGGGGTCCCCGAAGGTGAGCGAGCACGCTTTGGAGCCCAAGAGGGCTGGAGCTCTTGACCTGGCCGCTCGGCAGCTGGCCACGCGCGAGGAAGAGAGCCCAGGGGCCTGTCTCACAGCACGATTCTGGTGGGAACCACAGGTCTGGGCTTGGAGATGGGGAGGACCAAGCAGGGGCCAGGTCTAAGGTGTCAGAGAAACAGCAAGGGCCCCAGCTGGTGTGGAACCTTGTCCCCAGGCAAGAGACTGTCTGCTGTGCCCTCTGAACTGTGGGCACAGAACGGGCTCAGAACCAACCCTCTGATCACCCAGAGGAGGTCAAGGCCAGGCGAACCCAGCTCCATGAAGGATGCCCAGGCCTCTGGAATCCCTGGACATCGTGACCCCTCCCTTTCCAGGGGCCAGCAGGGCTGTCACACTGCAGGCTCCGGGTTAATGGGAAGGTGGGCGTGCCCCCGTTTCTTCTCAGTCAGAGGCCACAGACTGCTTTAGTTGCCAGACTGACTACCGCACATGGCTGTCTCTCTGCCTTCAGCCATCGGACACTGGAACGTGTTTAAGCAGCAGCCCACCTGCCCCCAAGAGCTGACCCGGAATTACATTGCCATGAACCGGGGGGCAGTGAAAGCCGGCCTGGTAACCGCTCGGGAGAATTTCCTCTATCGTCAGCTCAACGACATCCGCATCAGTGACCAGGACGACCGGCGCCTCAAGAAGGAACCGCCCTCTCTCCCTCCAAACATGACGTTCGGGATCCGGGCACGGTAAGGTGGCTGGCACCCAAGGCTCCACCCCTCACCATCGGTGGGTGGGGGGAGGGGCTCAGTGGTGACTGAATGAGGGAGCCATGTGGGAGCATCACTTTCAACTCCAGGAAGGGGCAAGTGATCCAGGCCTGGCCAATCAGTGCATTTCACAAACCTTGGTGACAGTGATTGGCTCAGAGGCCCATGTGACATATGACCCATGTCCCAACTCTATAAAAGTAGAATGTGGTTGCGTGTAATCAAATCTCAATTCAGACTGCCTTGATTTTTTTTAAGGGGAATTTATTGGCTCACATGATTTAAAACCCCAGGGGTAGACCTTCAGGCATAGCTGGATCTAGGCAATCAGGCAGTGTCGTCAGCATTTGGTGTGTCTCTGCATGTCCTGGCTGTGCTTCCCAGTTTTGGCTCCATTCTCTGACAAGCTTCTTCCTCACTTGGCAAAATGGCCAGGAGAAGTTCCACTCTTATGTCCTATTTTCTTGGTGACCCCAGTGGGAAGGATATGGGAACTACAAAAGCCTTGAGATTAAGATTCGTTGGTCCAACTTTGGTGCCACGTCTATCCTTGAACCAACAGCTGTGAGTAGGGATTGAAATACACTGATTGGCCAGTCCTGGATCACATGTCTGCCTCTGAACCAATTGCTGAGGCCAGGGGATTCTGACGCCCTGATTGGCCAGACCTGATCCCTTGCCCTTCCTTGGGGGGGGCGTGGTTGGAATCAGTCTCCACAATCCACAGGGGCTGATGGTGGAAAAGATGTAGAAATAGGGGTTCCGTTCCCAGCAGCAGGAGAACAGAACACAACAGCAGGCAAAACAGCAAATGTCCACTACAGCAGGGCTTCCTAACTTGTGCTATATCAGGGCACAAACTTACCACCACTCCAAAAATTACTGACGTGCACACCGCACTGTACAAATAAACAGAGAGTGCTCTCAGCCGGTGGTGAGCGGCCCCAAGCCCCACCCAGATGCCTGTGACTGAGAAGCCAGTATCTTGGCCCATCTGTGTGACATTGACTGCCCTGCTTCATTCAAGGCCATTGACAATCTATCCCCAGCCTCTTTCCTGCCCCCATGCCCCTGTTTCTGGACAGGTGACTTCCTTTGGCTCTGCCACCATACTTTTTTTTTTTTGGTGGTGGCTCCTTCTTTATTTTATTATTTTCTAATCACTTTTTTTTATTGTGGTAAAATATGCATAAGATTTATCATATTTAAGCATACAGTTTGGTAACATTAAGTACATTGACATTGTCGTACAACCATCACCACCATCCATCTCTAGAACTTTTCATCATCCCAAACGGAAACACTAACTTTCTATTCCCCCCACCCCCCCAGCCCCTGGTAACCACTGTTCTCCTTTCTGTCTCTATGAATTTGACTACTCTAGATATCTCATCTCATTGGAATCACATAATATTTGCCCTTTTGTTTCTGGCTTATTTCATCTGCGATAATATCTTCAAGGTTCGTCCATGGTGTAGCATGTGTCCAAATTTCTCTCCTTTTTAAGGCTGAATAATATTCCATTGTGTGGATAGACCACATTTTGTTTATCCGTTCTTCTATTGATGGACATTTGGATTATTTCCACCTTTTGGCTATTGTGAATAATGCTGCTAGGAACGTGAGTGTACAAATATCTATTCCAGCGTCTGCTTTCAATTCTTGTGGGTCTGTGCCCAGAAGTGGAATTGCTGGGTCATACAGGAATTCTATGGGTAGCTTTTCGAGGACCCGCCGTAGTGTTGCCCACAGTATTTGCCATCGTACTTGTGTATGCCCTTCCCTCTGCCTGTTCTCACCATCCTGGCTACTCGTTCTTCCACGTCCAGCTCAGCATCATCTCTTCGGCAAGCTTTGCCAGCTTGCCTGGCCTCGAATCCTACGCACATCTCTTTCCCCAGAAATGCATTTCTGTTCACCAGCCCTCAAAACCTGGACTGTGACACTAGACACACATTGGAAAGGCACTTCTAGGCGGAATTAATTAATTGTCTGTACACCATCCTTCCCCCACCTTTGAAATAATGCCCCAAGTCAGCCCTTCCAAGGCGAGGTGTCTCCCCTGACTGCCCCGCCCCACTCTTCTGCAGCCCCCCAGCACGCGTGCCCTCCTTGCCCTTGTTCTCACAGACTGCCCGGAGCATGGAAGGACAGAGTCACCACTGTGCACCAAATCACTAGACTAGACCATGCTGGTCACCAGTATCTCAAAGACAGCATGGTGTCCAGGAGGAGCCCTGGCCAGGAGTCAGCTTGGAGTTCTAGTCCCAGCTTGGTCGCCACTCTCTTGCCCTCCAGGGCTTCTGTTTCCTCCTCTGTAAATAGGATGTTACAGCAGTAAGCGGCATTCTGCAATTCTCAGGGTATGTTCTGTCTACGTCAATTTCATTGCATCGCCATTAAAACCCTGTGCAGGATCCTGGTAGGCAGCGTTACTTACCCAGCTGAGGCTGGGAGAGATTAATTGACCTCCCCAAGTTCACACAACTTCTTCACAACAAGGGTTGGCCTGGATTCTCAACCTAGTATGCTTATATTTAAAAATATAAAATATTAGAACACATAGGACATTAGCAATCACTGGTTCAAAGCCCTTATTTATTTATTTATTTTTTAAATAATTTTATTTATTTATTTTTCCCCCAAAGCCCCAGTAGATAGTTGTATATCACAGCTGCACATCCTTCTAGTTGTTGTATGTGGGACGAAGCCTCAGCATGGCCGGAGAAGCGGTGCGCTGGTGCGCACCCGGGATCCGAACCCGGGCCGCCAGTAGCCGAGCGCGCGCACTTAACTGCTAAGCCACGGGGCCGGCCCTCAAAGCCCTTATTTAAAACAGGAAAATAGAAGTTCAGAGAGGTGAAGAGACTTTCCCACAGTCACACAGCAAGTTGTGACCAGCCAAAAGCCAGATCTAGAGCCAGGCTGGTGGACTCTCTGTCCAGTGCTCTTTCTTCCCTGTCTTGCCTCCTTGGGATCGAGGGACAGCATGAACACCCACAGTTTCTGGCCCTGGGGCTGCATTATCCCATATACAATGGAAAAACTTAAGTCAGCTGGGCTCAGAGAGGACATCCATTATGATATAGCTTTCACTATAAAATCTTAAATTGCTATAAACCCGAGTGGCTACAATTCCGGGGAAGGACGTGATGGAGTGCTGGCTACATCTTCTGTGATGGTAAATGGGCTTTGCATATGCAAATTGAATGGATTTTAAAATGGTATTTAATGACAATTTTCGTAGCAGACGTTAACATTAATTGCACAAAAATGAAAATGCTGCGTTAGGTTGCTGTTAGCAGCAAATATCGTGGCCATAAAGCTTTATCTTTATCAACAGCAGCCCTTTCTGATGTGACAGGGCAGCTCAGCAAATTGCAAGCAAAAGGGCTTTTATGGAACAAAAATATCCCCCAACGCAGGCCCAAATCAGCATCAATTTCGCTTTATTTCTTCGTAAATGGAGGTTAAATGGCTGCTGCAAAAGCTTTTACTGAGATGCCCAACCTGTCTGCAAAGCCCCTCAACCTTACAGCAGAAATGCAAGGAACAGTTAAAAACCCATCGCCCTCTCCGTAATGGGGCTATTACTTTAAAGTTATGGGGCCGAGGCCCATTCTCTAATGATCACCTTTTATAAGCCTCGATTGTATTTATTTCTTTACTTTGAAAGCATGTTAAACACCAAATCCGATTACCCTCGACTACCTGAGGAGTTGTTGGGGTCATTTGGTCCAATAAATAAATAAACAAAGAAACAAACAAGGGGCCGTCCCGGTGGCATAGTAGTTAAGTTTGCTCACTCTGCTTCGGCGGCCCAGGGTTCGCGGCTTCAGATCCTGGGCGTGGACCTAGGCACTGCTCATCAAGCCATGCTGTGGTGGCATCTCATATACAAAAAAAGGAGGAAGATGGGCACAGATGTTGGCTCAGGGCCAATCTTTGTCAGCCAAAAAAAAAAAAACAGAAATAAAGAAATAAACAAGTGCCATTTACTCATAACTACAGATGTGTTAAAAAGTAAAGTCCCAGCCCAGACTAAATAGACAAAATGCTGTCTCTAATCTAGGGATGCCGACGAGCATGGGGGTTGTAACTGCCACTCCAAAGAAAATTCTGACCCCGGCTATTTGCCCCTGCCCCCCAATTTCAAATCTTCTTGCCCTTTGTATGTTTTACGATGGACAAAATAAATAGATATGAGGGCAGGGCAACCTGCACGCCCACCCACTCCACCTCTCAGTGCCAGGTGGGATCCAGCCTGAATTTGAGATTTATTCAGTCACTTCCTCTGCAGGTAGCCGATTTGGTTCCCAATCCACACCAATTTGTTACAGATCGTCACTAAATCAGAAAAGTACATTTCCATCCAGGAACCTCTGTGACTAAAAGGAAGTGGAGATGTAAACAATTATCCGGATAAGGGGGCCCATGTAGACATTTAGTCAAGAATGGGGGCCACACCCAAGCCGATCCGCAGAGGTGTTTGTTGCACCCGTGGAGTACTTAAAAAAAAGAAGTTCGAATGAGTTGCCACATTTTAAAAGTCAGGAGATTTCATATAAAAACCTGGATTTCCCACTTCTCTTAACAAGTCAGAAGCCTGGCAACCTGGGTCTGCACCCCTGCCTGGCACCAGAGCCGGGGCCCAGAGGCAGCGGCTTCTGGACAGAATCCACGCGTGCTCCCCACCCGCCCGGCTTCTCTCATTCTCGTTATCTGGGTGGTCCCGTTATCTGGCTGAGTTTGCAGCCGCTGGTGTAGACTGCTCATCTTGATCCCTCGGCTAACTGCTGCCTCTTTTTGTCCTCTGATAGTGGTAGGGGCCACCGCTAGCAGAAGCTGCTGTGAATTGAGCTTACACGTGGCAGATTAATTGTTAAGCCTAATATCAATCCTGCAGGGCAGGTATCATTCTGCTCACTTCACAGGCCAGGGAAGGGAGGGCACGGACCCGACCTGAGGCCGCACAGTGA